CTGATATTTCAATTTAACAAATATATTTACCAAAATTACACAAAAATATCTTGGAATACTAAAGAGTAAATTTATTCAGTAAAATTGCCATTGGCTTCAAACAGGGTCTCCAGAATCTCCTGCAACTCTTCTGGATAGTCTCTTTGTTTGTTGGTGAATGCTGCCATAATCCTTGTTTTCAGTTCATCTTTGGTATTACAAGGAGTTTTGTTTGTCTCTTTCTCAACTGTGCCCCACATAAAATAATCAAGGAAATTACAGTATGAGGAGTTAGGTGGCCAGATGTAAGGGGTGATTTGGTTGCAGAAATTGTCCTCCAGCCATGACTGGGTTCTCCTGCTTGTGTGGCATGGTGCAGAGTCCTTTTACCAGACATAGGGTCTTCCTGCAGCCACCCTCTTGACCCAAGGCAGCACTACCACCTCAAGGCATTTGATGTAGGCCTCTGTCTTGAGTCTGAATCTCTCACCAATAAATTTGAAGGTTCTTTTCTTATCAGAACAATCAGAGTGAGTTTTTCGAGCTGCTGTACATTTGTAATAACCATTAGACTCTTCAAACTCTTGCTGAATCCTCTGCACTGTCCTGAGATTGACATCCAAACACTTTGAAATGTTTGTACTGGAGTTTCTGGCACAAATGCATGCTGTTTTCAAATTTCTGACAAATTGCATCATGGTACTCTTTTCTCACAGATGGTGCCCAACTGACTCTACTACACTGTGCATTTTGTTGCAGTTAGTTGAGTCTTGGTTTAAATTTACTGATGAAAACTTTTTCCTTGTTTATGTGTTTTTGTGTTAATGGTCATGTAGTCACATTGGTAAGAAGGTAGGTGGGAAGATATTGAATAGTGGCAGATTTTATCCTATGCATTCCTCTATATGTTGGTTAAGAAAGATATTTCTAGTGTGCGGATCTTTAATTTGTTGGTAAAAAAATTGTTTAACCAATGTAGTGTTGTATTTTTTTTTTCTCACTGTTGATGTTGCAAAAGCATTGAGAACCAAATGATAGTGGATGAGCTGGGTATATAAATACATTGAATGTGAGAAATTGTCAAATTAAATTTTAAATTTACCATTCCTACATCATCAGTGTTTACACTCAGTACATTGTTATAACCAAACATTTATGTTTATATCTCATACTTCCCCTCCTACATATACATAATTCCATCGATAAAATCATTACTTTCATCCAATGAAGTCCTTTTAGAAGCTGAAGTGTGTTACATAGAATTTTTGCCACTTTGTCACTCAATTACCTAAATTTATTCTGAAATGTAGAAATTTTTATATTATATATATTATTTTTATATTAAGATTCACTCAATACAAGGCCCAAGATCCACTCAAGGTAGAGGGATAATGTCTAGTGCTTTATGAGCATAAAAAAGGCAAGAAGTAAAGTTCATGGGGTTATGCAAGAAAGATAATGGTTAATCCTAGACTTGAAGAGGGCAAGATTGTAGTGATTGGGAAAATATATATATATATATATATATATATATATATATATATATATATATATATATATATAGGCAGCCAATCTTCATTCAAACATGTTTCATTAAATAATATAGAGATATTGTGTCTTTCCAGTTACTTTCAAACTTTTCTAAGATCATCTGCAGGGGTAAATTACAATGATGAACATGTTATTTGTAACTACGATCTGTTGTCATAGTGATTTTTAAAAATGTGCGCAAAGGCAGATTTTATCGTAGTTACAATAGCATTTTTGTCTTTGTAATTTACCCCTGAAGATGATTTTAGAAAAGGTCGAAAGTACTTGGGTTAAAAAAAACTACAGCGCCTTTCTTGATGTATTTTGTCTCACCATTGATTAGACAACTGGAAAGGATCAGTATAAAAATAAATTTACGCAATATGTCTATATTATTCAACAAAACATAAGTAAAAGAAGTTGAGAAATGCAACTGGAATCTTTAAGAGTATTTATTTAGAGTAATTTTACCGGTTTCACAGTACTATGATTTTCAAAAATTAAATTGAGATGGAGAGGTATGTGGCTATGCCATGATATGTCTAGTATCTAACTGGAGTTGGAGAATTCTTTACATTTTATGCAAAAATAGTGTTTGTTTTTCCTGTTTTTTTACCTATAAGGGATATATAAAAAACATACTGTCACATATATATATCTATATATATATATATATATATATATATATATATATATATATATATATATATATATATATGTGTGTGTGTAAATATTTAAAAAATTTTAAATTCATTTCTTTTATATTTACTAGCGCTAAGGCTGTTTCTCTCACTACTAACCTCCCACCCTGCTGAAACTACTGCCATCTAAATAAATATTGGTGGTCTGATCGTTTGTCATAACAACTGGCACCTGACCAAGGATGATGAGTTTGTACTACAGCTGCAGAGATTACATTAACCAGTGCAGCTGCTGTTGTTACTACTACTACTACTACTACTATATTTGATATTGCGACTAATGCTACATTTTCTATTATTACCAGTATCTTTGTTTCTCTCATTCCTACCAATGGTGGTACTGCAAAAATATGCATAAAAAAGGCTTGTTTTATTTGTGTTTTTGTTGTTTTGTGGCTATGTTTACATCATTCTACATTCGTCTTTTTGCTTGTTTTCATTTTTTCTTTTTCTTAGCCCATCTTTCATAATTCCTGCATCTTTTATTCTATGAGTGTTGTATTCACATATCACACGCTCAGTTTACTTGTGTACTGCTGAAACCCTCGTGATCAAACTGCTGATCAAGTACTGTTTTAATAAAAAAAAAAATATAATTTACTCAGACAATGATTAAGTGAAAGTGTCAGAATTTATGTGTCTCCTATGGTTAATATATAATTTGGCTATTTCAGTTTATTGCCTCTTCATACTAAACTGGCAGAAACAATGTGGGATATATAAACCTTGAAATAATAAAAATAAATAAACAAATAAAAAAATAAAAACTGGTTTGAAATTAGTTAAAATCTAATTTCTATAGCAAAATATTTGATATAAAAAGTTAGTTTCTATCACAAAACAGCAATAGTAAATGAAATGTTAGATTGTAAAATGATGTGCCAAAAGTTACTACTTATATAATAATCCATATTATACATATATATGGGCACGTGGCCAAGTGGTTAGAACATTCACATTCTGACCATGAGACTTAGATTTGAATCACACCATAGTTGATTTGCCAGGAAGGTGAATTGATATTATCAGTCTGGAGGAAGTGATCCTAGCTTTGGAAAGTGCCTGAAAACCATACTATGGGTTGACCCAAGCCTTATGAGTGAAATTGTGTATACAGAACTCTTGAAGTCACAAGTCTTCATGACTGAGGGTTTCAACGTGCTATCTTTGTTCCAACTGTTGATCATGCTAGATAACGTGCTCTCTCCCAGAAACTGTAACTAATGTCTGCTCAGCATAGTTGTTGTATAAACCACAGGTGGGCTCTATGGGTGGTGAACAAACACCAATGTGCCTGAGCAGGTGTCTGCAATGGGGATTAACTATCCACCCTAGAATGGCACCCTCATGTACAAGTGGCTATGTTAAAGATGTGTCTGTGTGTGTAAATTGTAAAGAAAGAAAATGAATAAAAAGACGAGGAAAACTATTCTTAGCCAACGTGTTTTGTCTGCAGAGGGACATTATCAAAGCAAATTATCACATTTGCCTTGATAAGGTTCCTCAGCTAAGAATTCTTTATATATATATATATATATATATATATACACACACACACACTACAGTTCAAAAACTTGAGGTAACCCCTGGTAATTTTTAAAATTGGCCCCCAATGTAGTTGCTTTGTACTTTAGATAAAAAAAAAAGTGAGACATGAATTTTTATTAAAAATTTTACTTTAGAATAATAAACAAATAATGTATTTTATGATTAAATTTTGCTCTTGTCAAAATATCTTCCTTTAGCATTGATTACTGTGGCACACATTTTTGAGATTCATTACAAAAGTTGCTTAAAGTATAAGTTCGATAATTGATTCCATTCTTTTTTCAATGACTCTAAGAGATCTTTTTCATTTTTTTCACTCTTCCATCATGTTTATCCTATGCTAATTTTTGGGGTGGCTTCAACCTTCTGAATTGTACGGTGTGTGCGTGTGTGTGTGTATATATATATATATATATATATATATATATATATATATACACAAATTACTTCAAACCTTACTTTTAGTGGAAACACAAATATAAGAAGATGCTCTGTTTATTTAAACAGTGTTTATTTTGTCTCCCAGCGTGCATACTCTAGAAAACTTGATAAAGAAAATGTGCCCTCCAACAGGATTCAAAGATGCATAACCTTTGCAAGAGAAATCACTGTCTGATCTGGCATACCTTGACAGCTTGGCTATGGAGAGCTTCACAATCAAGGAACGTTCTTTTTGCCTTAAATAGAACCTTGTTTTTGTTAAAGTATTAAAGTAATACTCACTTGCAAAAAAACAAAAAAGAAAATTCTTATAACCAAAAATATGTTTTGGCTTTAAATAACTCATGAAGGGTTGATAAACCGTAAAAAAACAAACACATTTATTATAACAAAATAAAATAAATAAACCCAATTGAACTTAGTACATGTACATACAAGACAACCAGATGACAGGAAATCATATAAACATCTGACCTCCAAGAAGGATTGCTGAATCACATATCCAAATTAGAAGACTGAACATTTGAAGAAAGACATGAAACCTCAAACCCTTGAATGGGTAATATTAATTTGATGGGAGTCGCAAAGAAAATAAACCATTATTTTATATATGAAAAATTTAGTCTCATATTCTTATCAGATATTGCTAGCATAATATTACAGCTTGGCATCTTGAATAAAGCTTTAATAAAATAACAACTAAAAAAATTAATATGGAAGAATATAATCGTCAAAATTAAGAAAAAATTTTTTTAATAATTGAAATGAAGAATTTTAAGTCTTTTCTTATTTCTTTTTTAGCTCAACGGACATGTGGCGAGACTGAATTCCTTTGTCAAAATGGTCACTGTATTCCCCGCAGATGGGAATGTGATGGAGAAGATGATTGTCATGATCATTCAGATGAGGATCATGATATGTGCTGTAAGTATTTTTCCACACTTTTTAAAGCAAATCTGGTTTATCATAATAAGATTTACCTATCAGATAAGAAAGTTTTTTAATATTAGTTGGTTAATATGATTTTTATTAGGGAAACTGACTTACCCATGCAATCTCAGCTTCAAAGGAATAACTCTTATTTGGATTCTCAAACTGAAGGACACAAAAGGGCCATTACATACTGAGGGACTGGTATAGTGAGAAACAAACTTGTAGCCTGGGTATTGTCAGTCACTTGCATAATAAAATCTTTATGGTCCACAAAAAGGTTACACTCAAGTCTATAATGCTTGTACTTCTGTTGTGGAGTAGCTGAACACCCCCACAAGATAAACTGGTCTAAGACTATTTAAACAGCACTTTTCTCTTAATGAGAGAGGAAGAGGAATTAACCTCAACCGTATACCATATTATTCTTCGGAATAAACTACTTCTTATTTTCCATAGTAATGCTCTCAACTATTCCTGTTTACAACACAACAACTTCCCAAATTTTATTGTTTTCAAATAATAATTTCCACTCCTCTGCTCTTATTTCAATCCCCCAATGCTTATTAATTTTTGTAGAAACTTTCAAGAAAAAATGTTTCAGTTTCAAGAAAATGATCATTTAGAATTAAGACAACTAATTTTGATACAGATTCTTTCTCCAAATTATAATTGATTCAATTCTAAAAATTCATTTAAAAAATTTTTTTTTAAAACAATTCACCCCAAACAAGATGATAATGCTACTAAGACACAAGAGATTACTGGGATTGAAAGAGCATGAAAAGACTTTAGAAGTAACTGGAAAACCAATCCTAAATAGGAAACAAGGGATAAACCACTACTCCTGTTCAAAAGACTAAGGAGGAGTGTGAACAAGACAATAGGCGACCCCTATCTACTCCTAATTTGAATCCTAATATTTTGAAATAATATCTTTGTTGTGTTTCGTGCTGTTTTTTTCATTTTAGAAATAATTTAAATGACTGAGAAAAGAACTTTTTCAGTGCTCGACAAATGTGAAACTTGGACATTAGTCATACCTTTTTGTAATCTGTTCATGGTTATATAGAACAATGCCTGACAATCCGTGAAAAAAAGAATAGCAAAATGAAGGAAATTAGAAACAGGCTTTGTAAGATTTTATATTTACCTGTGCTTAAACTTTTGAGGTAGCAGAAAATTTAACCTTTGTGCATGTAAGAAAAATGTTTGTTAAAACAACAGTTATTCCATTGACACTGCTATTACTGTGTGCACTATTGACACCCTTGACAATGCTTATTTACAAGATTATAAAAATATGTGAACTAAGTTCAATGCAATATTTATTATTTACCTTTTATAAAGATCTATTATCTCTTTTAAAAAGAAATAAATGTAAAAAGACATGATTCTATTCAAAAATTTATAAAAATATACAAAAGTATCAAATATGAAAGAGGAAGAGATGCTCTCAACCTATTTTAGTGAACTTATGTAATGAGTGCAAAAGAAAGAAATTCTCAGAAAATGCATTTTTTCTAAATTTAAAATTAGTTATCTGTCATTAAGTATTTTTTAACATTCATGAATAAAAAATTTTTTTTCATATTTATAAAATGGTAAATAATAAATATTTCATTATAATTGGTTCACTTATTTTTATAATCTTGTCAGTATAAAATTATTCTTGTAAAAAGCAATCTAATAAATAAATAGTCTTTAATATTTTTGTTATAAATTCTCAAGAATAAAGAAAAGTTATATACCCACTTTCATGTTTGGGTTTTAAAGTTCTAATCATTGTTTTTTAAAACAACAAACATTGTTGAGGGAATCAAAAGTGTAAACAGTAATAGTGGGGTCAAGAGAATAACTGTCCAGTTGACCCACTGTTTCTTTGCAGGTACAAAGGTTAAACATTGGCAAAACTCTTTTAACTCTCATTAAATAATTTGTTCTACGTTTACGCACCATTCCATCATTTAGATGAAGTAAATTCTTACCCACTTTTCCAATTTTTTCCACCCTTCCACGTTTATTAGATTTTGGAAAAGATTTCCAGCCCACTTCTGCTTATTCCTACCCTGCTCATTAGATTTTAAAGATAAAATTTCCAGGTCTTGCACTTACTCATCCACTACTTAGTTATGTGCCATGCATGATACATGCTTAGGCGATCATGTATCGTACAATACATGACTGACGAGGCAGATTTTTTCCCGCAGTAGGTTGCCATTTCTTTCTGTGGTAGACTAGTTGCCATCTAAGGCTATAGAACCCAGTCTGTCCTGCTATTTACCCAATGCTGGAGGGAAAAGTACATAGCAGAAACATCAGACCAGACAGCAATATTCAATGTATGGACAAATTGTAGATGCATAAATATAAATAGATTCTGGAGAGAAATTTAGTAATTGATATATCGGTCACTTTCTCACCACTGTAATGTAACTTCTTCGAGCCTTTTTTATAAATATTTGTAGTGGTTCTGACGGATTTTCCTCTTTGATACCTCAACTTCATGAATTTATGCCCAGAACTGGATTGGCAGCTAGGTCTCATAATTTCTCTGTTCAAATTACTTGTTGTAAACGTAAGTTCTATGATAACAGCACATCTTGCTTGTGGAACTCTTGTAATAGAAGACATGGAGCAGAGTAACTCAAATTAGGTTTTATTCAGCACAATAGAACAGTTAGTACAACAAGACTATTTATAAGCAGGCACAGTCCATTTTTAATGATAGGCAGAGAGGGAATGTTCACTGCAATTTCCCCTGCTTGTAGAAAATAATTAGTGGCAGTTAGTGAATCAATATTAAGGAAATATTATATCCTAGCAGGATTTATTTTAATTTTTAAGTATCTCTTTTATAACCTTATTTAATTTATTGAAATCAGCAAAAGATTTACTCATAAATTAAGTGGTTGGGAGGCCTACGTGATTGCTCTGATTGACGTAAAGGAAATTCGATTTCATTTTCTGGTGTATCTGTACTAGATTCAGTCTTGTTGGGATCTAAGTCTTGTATTTCAAGAGAACACTTCTGAATGAGACCAGCGGGGTGATACCGTAGTTTCCTTGCCGTTTTGAAGATGAATGTGCACACAATGAGTATTGGCTTCTATAAGTTCCTCCTCCCCTACAATAGGGTCATACTTTGATTGTCTGACATGTCTCAAAAGAACATTTCTTGGTGTTGTTAGCCATGTTGGAACAGAATAGCTACTCAAGAATCAGCTAGGATAGTTGAATATCCATTCATGAGGTGTAGCATTCGTAGCTGTTGAAAGTAGTGTGCACAATGAATGTAAAGCATCTAGCAAAACATTCTCCCATTGATTTATAGGTAGGCATTGAGTTTTGAGTGCCAAAGTTATTGCTTTCCACAAAAACACCATTATACTTCTTGCATTGACCATTACCTTGAGGGTTATAAGAGGTAGTATGGCTAGTTGAGATTCCATGCCCATGCAGGAAGGATTTTACCTCAGCCGACATAAAACTGGAACCCCTGTCTGAATGCACGTACATTGGTATACTGAAGATAACAAAGATTTGGGTGAAGCACCAGATGACTGTGATGATATATCAGGACAAACAAAGGCAAATGGGAAGTGAGAATATTCATTTATTATTGTAAATAGAAATCAGTTTCAAGAAGAAGATGGCAGGGGTCCTTTGAAGTCAATGCTGAGCCTCTCAAAAGGCATGGCTGCTTTTATTAGATGCAGATCGTCAGGTCGGTAAAATCGAGGTTTGCCTTTGGCACATACAGGGCAAGCAGTAGATACTATCTTCACATCCTCCACAGAGAAAAGAAAGTTCCTCATCCTAACAAAATGCATCCTTCATGTAACACCAGGGTGACGAAAAGGGTTGTGTAATTTCTCTGGGGTGTCCAAACTTACAGCTGAACAATAAGCTCTAGATAACGTATTTGCAGTAACATTTATCTCTCCCCGGGCAGGATTTAATATCAAAACTCTAGTAAGCAAGTTCAACCCTCCACTTTTGGATTTTGTCATTTTTTATTTTCCCAGCCTGTTTCAAATCAAACATGAATGCCACTGATCTCTGGTCTGTAAGTAAAGTGAAATACTGTCCCATTAAGTAGTGCCTCCATTTACATAAAGCCTCTACGATAGCTTGGGCTTCCTTTTCTATAGAAGAGTGTTTACGTTCGCTGGTAACTAACTTCTTTCTTTTGTGTCAAGTGTGATCTTAAAATATTTAAACACAACGTAAATCGTAATCTTCTGTCTCCTTGAATCCCGCCCTTTTATTATCCTCTCTGTTTCTTTCACTATCAGTAAAATCCCTTGTGTCTTAGTGGATTTTATTGCTTGCTTGATATGAAAGGATTAAAAATAAACACAGACAACATATCAGTAATTTAGACAACTTAGGGCTGTTAATCAAATCAAAAGGTAGACATAGTAAGATGCTTATGTGAGTCTTCAGTGATGCACTCTGGTTTCATTGTGGCTTTCAGGTTTTACACATCCTATCAGTAACTCGACCCACTTCTGATGATAAAAAGGCTCTTACCTCATTTGCAACACCACATGCATTATCTAAACATATGCTCAGTGTAATAGTTATTTTGAATAGTTATGCCAATCAAGACACTCAAACATGTATTTACTCGTTCTTATAAGGTGCATACTTACCTAAAACTGAAACTTATATCTATTTCTATGTTTACAAGCAACAAAATAAGATGAAAAAATATTAAAGAAATAATAATTGATATTGCTTCAAGGAGGAAATTCAAAAGTCAGTGTAGCTTGAAAATTAGTGATTTGACTAATTGATCTGATTTTATGGCTTATGCAGGTTATTTAATGCCAAAAAATATTTTTAGATTCTAATAAATTTTTGGATATAATAATAATTTACTGATACAAGTCCTACTAATTAACCTATAGGTGTGGAGGGAGGAGAGTATTTGCCTATAAGTGAATATAATGAACCTGACTGGAATTGGAACTCGGCACTCTAATTTCCAATTTCAGGCCATTATTCAATACACCACCTACATATCCAAACTCACAGCACCTGGTATTCCTAAGTGGTTACCCAACTTGGTACTGACCATTTTCAATGTTGTTCAACTTTGGTGATCATACGAGAACCAGTGTTTCAATATGATATGGTTGTAATCTGAAAATTTGTTGAAAAAACAGGATCTCTTAGAGATGGTAGTTAATGAAAATGAGAAGAAAGGACGAAGCATTAATTGTAAGAAGAAAGAATGTATGGTTGTCAACAAAAGAGACAGTCGAACATGTGAATTACAAATTGGAGACACCGAAATCAAGCAAGTACAAAAATTTAAATATCTAGGAAGTGTTTTAATAGAGGACAGGAAAGTGCGACACAGAAATTCAAAGGTGCATTGGGATAGCGAAAGATGCCTTCCAAAATCTAAGTCATGTATTAAGAACCAAGAAAATTTTGTTAGAGACAAAGAAAAGAGTGCTGAACTGCTATGTAATATCCGTCCTCCTATATAGCAGTGAATGCCGGCGAATCTCTTCACAGATGAAGAGACTTGAGGCAGCAGAAATTTGGTTCTACAGAAGGAGGCTGAGAATACCATGGACTGAACATGTGATCAATGATGTAGTTTTAGAGAAAATGAAAACAAAAAGGACACTTCTACTTAGAATCAGAAAGAGATAGTTGAAATTTTTAGGGTACATAATGAAGAAAGAAGGCTTGGAGAAATTAACACCCACATGATGGGAGGGATAGGAGAATGCAGTGAATAACCTACCTAATCAGCTTCTGTATATAGATGGCAGAACAGGTACTAGGAGAAATAGCAAAATGACAAACCTTCTTAAGAGCTATAAAGGATAGGAAGTTGTGGAGTGACATTATCCCCCATATCACAATTGTTACACAGCACATAAAAAAAGAAGTTCAGTCACCAAATGTCCATTGTCCTTTCATTCTGTGCAGCCATCTGCCTGACCACAGCTATCACCTGGCTCTTAATCCATTATCATCTTTAATCCAGGAGAATTAGATTAACTGATCTTGCCCGTCTAACCTCAGCTTAAAAGGAATAACTTTCATTACCCAGTCCTTGACTGTGGTCTTTAATTCAGGGGTCTGAAACTGAAGGACACAAAAAAGTCATTACATGATTAGGGAGAGGTTAGTGGGCCAGAAGCAGCCTCATAGCCTGAGTATTATCAATGGCAAGAGCAGAAATTCCCATAGGTGGTGGGCACCAACTCCAGAGGGCCCAGAGGGCATCCACTGGTAGAAGTTCATTTTTTCACATTAAAATTAGTTTCTATCACATTCACAGAGTAAGGCAAAAGGTTTTCAGGAGGAAGTGTAAAAAAAAAAGGGAAAAAAAAAAAAAAGGAGAGAAACTGAGACATTGTTGCAAATACATTTATAGTTGCTCCTCAGGTAGCTATTAAAGAATACATGGTGGTGGGGAGATCAATTTTAATTCCTTTTCCTGAAGAGAAATGGACCCTGCTGACCTTAAAATTTATTGACTGTCCCCACACACTTTGTGGGTAGCCTAAGCTTAATTCTGTTACTGCACAAGTATTGACTTGTGGCCACATCATATTGAAACACCAGTTCCTGTACGATCACTGAAGTTAAGCAATGTCAAGTCTGGTCAGTACCTAGATGAGTGACCATTTGGGAATACCAGATGATGTAAGCTTGGATGATATAATGGATAATGACTTAGAATTGTTAATCAGAGAGCTGAGTTCCAATTCATCTTGGGTTCGTTATATTCATTTATATGCAAATACCCTTGGGAAAAACATCAATCCACCTCTTCTCCCACGGCTATGACTTATATCATTAAATCATTATTATCTCAAAAAAAAAAAATTCTTACAATCTAAAAATTTTTTCTGGCTTTAAATAACCTGCAAAAGGTTGATAAGCTGTAGAAAGCGAATCAAGCAAGCAAAAGTATGGAATACACAAGGGGCAGATTTATTAAACTGCAAGGAAAATGTTGATCATGAAAATGGTACTCCACATGCCATAGAAAGGTAGTCTGCATGTCCCCTATTATCATTTACGAAAATAGATTTATGCCTGTTCCTAAGGGCCATATTTTTATGCTATTACTTTTTTTTGTGTGTAATATATATATATTAGTGGTAAATATACACATACATATGCAAAATATATAAATATATATACATACACATACATATATATTTTTTTGAATAAAAAAAATTCCAAGAGGATAGAATCCAGGTAGAACTCAATGTCCAGGACAGAGTAAGGATATAATAATATAATATATATATATATATATATATATATATATATATATATATATATATATATATTCAAACATGTTTCATTGAATAATAAAGATATATTGTGTCTATTGTTATACTGATCCTTTCCAGTTCTCTAATCAGATTCTTGATGTTAAGATGAAATCCATCAAGGAAGGTGCTGTGTCTTACTTGGGTTAGAATAAACTATGGTGCCTTCCTTGATATGTCTATATTATTCAATGAAACATGTCTGAATGAATATATGCTGTCTAAATATACATTCCAATTCCTTCTAAAGTCTATTTCAGCATTATACTTCTAATGTCTCCTCCTAAACACTGAAATCTATACTATTATTGGTTTTCCAGTTCCTTCTAAAGTTATTCCCTTCTCTTGCACTTGCAGTAGCCCCTTGCGTCTTAGTGGCCTTATTGCCTTGCTTGGCGTGAATTGATTAAAATAAATAAATAAATAAATATAAAAAGGGTTTATTGACATTTGATCAATGTCTTTTCTTCTACATTACTTAGATTGCAGTTTTATTTGTTCAAGCCTTTCATGGGAAGCAGTCAGATACCTTTGTCTTTTAAGTGATCGTCAGGCTTCAAATTGGTCTTGAAATAGGCATTGTCATTACCATCTTTGTCGTTCTGTTGCTATCTTTTTCTTCCAGGAGATATTTCCATTTCACTGTTATATTAAACATAACATTTTTAATATGAAAAGATATTTAGCAAAAAGTGATTTATATAATACCAGGAGCTTCTCAGTGAATCATAGATACCACTGAATGCCTCAAACATATAAATGGAATGGATTAATTAAAGGGTTTATTGACTTTATTTTAGTTATGAATTCTTTATTACTGCTTTATTGAATCTCAATAAATTGTTTCAAGACTTTTGTTTCCTTGCATCTTGCTGTTAAAACTCAAAGGTGGCATGGGTAAACTAGAATATTTTCAGCACATCTTCATTCCTGTAACCTTTTTTTGTATGTTTTTTGTCCTTGTCTTTTTTCTGTAAAAACCACTGGGGGGTGGTGTTGGGCAAAGCTCTCTATTGGTTTACATGATAATATCATTTGTAGGTGGGTTAGACTGAGTAGTGACAGGCATTTGGGGCAACTTAGGTCAGGTTTTGGCTTTTTTTTTTTTTTTTAATCTCACACTCTTTAACCCCATTTAAGTGTTGAGACAGGGTGTAAAAATTCTGAACAAAACAGGATGGAATTCCTAAAGAGGGTTCCTCAGAAGCCTTACTTGGCCCCTTCTGATTTACAGATTTGTAATGACCACAACAGAAGGAATATACAACAAAATCCATTTTGAACAAGGGAAGAGGAGGAGGAGGAGGAGAAGAAACAACAGCAATAAAGACTAACTACCAGTAACAATGAAAATTTTACAGTTTTCCCATTTGGATTTTCTGATGAATTTTAATTCTTCAGTTAATGACTGAATAAGCTCCTTGTGACTTCTTGACTTATAAAATACTTGTGGAAATTCCCATATTGCATCATTAAATATTTGATCATAATAGCTTTGCCAAAATATTGCAATACTATCATATGTATGAATATAGGTCCTTATTTAAAGAAGTAAGAGGGTACAAATGTAATGATTAAAAATTGACAAGGTTTTCGATTTCACGGAAGCAGACTTTAAAAGCATGAGAGAATCATCTCCTCGCTTTTTCATTTTTCTTATTATGTATGCTTTCTTTTTTTTACTAAAACCAAATACCATCTCTAATATATATTTTTCTTCTGTCATTCCTCACAATCAAAACGGAATAGTTCATTACATTATTCATCTGTGCTAATGGTCAGTGCAATGCATGTGATAACTAACTTATGAGCTAATGGAAGAACAAAGTCAATATGATAATTCCTAAAAACAACATTATTTACAAAAATAAAAAACTATCTTCTAAAGATCATTAATACATAATTACTATTTCAGTGAAACAATGAATTTATATATATATATATATATATATATATATATATATAAACCAGTTATAATCAAATATTTATTATTTAGCATTTTATGAAGAAATAAATATGGAAAGAAATTTTTTTATTCATAAATTTATAAAAATGTCTGAACAAGAAAATTAAAATAAACAGATAACGATGATAATATGTATGTTGTTTATCATGCGACTTCTGAAGACCTAATTTTGAAGCAAATTTTAAAAGGGGGTCACATCATACACAAGATATAAAATTAACATATGTACTGCTGGCCCTGACTATGCTGTTGACCAAACTATATATCCAATTACTATAGGCAAATTAGCTTTAAAATTAGGTCTTCAAAGGTCACATGATACACAAGTATATATGTTAACTATAGATTTTGAAAAAATAAAGGATTCGGTTTGAAATCCTAACATATATCACACATAATGACAAGTATATGTAATTACAAATTTTGAAAAAATGCATTTTCTAGGCATTTCTTTCATTTCCTCTCATTGCAAGTTCACTAAAATAAGTTGAGTGTATCTTCCTCAGAACCAAACATTTTAATTTTAGATTTTAGGCAAGATCACAAACACTCAATATTTTCAGTGTATCTCTCTATTTGATGGAGAAAGTTTACCTTGTTTATATTTGCAGAATGTCTGTAATTTTTACTACAAATATTGCATTTTATTTGGTTTATATATTTTGATAATTTTGTAATTTTTTTAATAAATTTTTGAATAAAAAGATTTCCTTTTAAATTTATTTCTTTATAAAATGGTAAATAATAAATATCACATTATACTTCACATATTTTTATAATTTTGTAAATTAGCAATAGGTTATTAGCATTTTGAAATTTAACAGTATAAACTTGAGTCACATTCACAAAATGCCAAAAATTTTAAATAAACTATTTTATATGAATGTAACTACTTAAAAATAAATGCTGGCAAATAAAGAAAAAATTAACATGAATTTTTATTTTATTTAATTTAAAAAATTTCTCAGTTAAAAAAACTATATATATATATATATATATATATATATATATATATATTTTTTAACTGAGAAATTTTTAAATTAAATAAAATAAAATTTTACTTGTGACACATTTCATCTGTTAGAACTTCATTGGACTGGGTTTATTGAAGTTGTTATGACTACACATGTGCATGAATGAGAGACACTGGTAGTTTCAAAATTTTTTAAATCATTTTTTTTGCAATCTAGGTAAATTCATCTATATTCTTTTTTCACCCTCATCTTTGTTTTTAAATATCCCACATTATGATAATAGAGGAACTGCCAAGAATGATGAAATGTAGGAAACTGGATGTAAATTAATGTGGCTTAACTGTCAATTAAAGTATTTTCTAGACATTTTCAGTTTAGTGATAGTGCTGTAATCGCTATTTCAGCCACATATATCCTGTTTACAAAAATCACCATCACCATCACCATGATAATGTTCTTTTTTTTAGAAATTGAAAATCAAAAATGATAGGAAGACAGAGGGAAAATAAAGAGAGGAAAAAAATGTTTTGATTCATTTTTTTATCAGATGATTTAGTATTGACAAGTTCAAGGGAAATCTCATAAGGAGCAAAATGGCCATCTAAATGGGGTACAGTTGAGTTTCATTTTTATGTAATTTATTTATATGTGCTATAATAAATATATTGAGATCTCTTTTGTGGATCAGTTTTAATATTTTATATTATTAGGATTTACTTGGAATACTTCACCACAGATTTGTACCTCTGTGTGTGTGTTTGTGTGTGTGTGTATATATATATATATATATATATATATATATATATGTGTGTGTGTGTGTGTAAATATATATATATGGAGAAATGTAGTTTTAAAATGTGCAAAGTGCTCAGTAAATATAAAAGTGAACACTGAAGTCAACACTCAGAGGCAACAGGCTGTTTCATGCCAGACGCAAATGTCAGGCGGCCTGACGATTACATCTAGCATGAAACAGCCTGTCGCCGCTGAGTGTTGACTTTAATGCTTACTTATATATATATATATATATATATATATATATATATATATTTAAACATTTCTAATTATTAAACAAAGTGTCCACTATAATAACATTTGAAGTAATAAAAATGCCAGATTAAAAATAAATTCATTAATTCTTTAGAAATATCATTATATTAATATGTAAGAATGTCCACTTTTACATACACTCTCTCCTAGATATTGAGCACTTCAGAACATGGGCAAATTTGGCTCTTCATGCATCCCTTTTCTTTTTTGTGGAGTAATTGGCCATGGTAATTGGCAAAATGCTCAACAAACAGAACTGATAAATTTAGTAAACAATAACAGAAGAAAGAAAAAGAATAGGGCAAAAAAATACTAAGTAAACAATATATATATACAAAACAAAACTAGGCTAAGCAACAGTAATAAAGTAAAAGTTCAAAAAGCAAGAATGGTGCTAATATGCAAAAGGGATTCAGTCAAGTGATTGTAGCATTCTGACTTCAGGACAAGAAAGAACAAAAATATGGTGGATGAGACTGAGAAGTTGTCTATTTTTATTGGTTAGGAATAAATCCCAACATGCATCTGTATGATTTATGTATAAATTTGGGGAGGGGAATGTTTTTAGCAGTTATTCTCCTGCAGGTTGAAACCAAAATATTTTAAAACAAATTTGAGATTCAGTTTTTATTTATATGCAAATTTATTTCTTATAGGTCTTTTCAGAATATAACTGAATCTAGCACTCCACTCATTCCTTTTCTTTTTAACATCTATTATTTGCCAAGCTTTCTTGGTAAAGATAATGAATTAACTTCCCATTGTTTTTTCCAGTTTTGAATTCATATGTCTTTTTCTCCTAGACTAGCTGTCATTTAAGGCTATTTAACCAACAATTGGGGTCGGGGTGGAGAGAGATGGATTTATGCTTTTAACAACCAATCTACCAATCTGTTTTGTTCAAAGTAGGCATGGAATAAATCGGAGAACCAAGTTCAAATTTCAGTCAGGTTCATTACATTCCCTTATGTACAAATATTCTTGGGAAAGGTATGAATCCATCTCCTTCCCCCATTTATGGGTTAAATAGTAGCATTTGTATCTGGGAAAATAATTGTTATTCTTAAAAATTTGTTAAGGCAATATTCACTCATAAAAAATGGATTATTGTTAGATTCAAAAATATGTTTAGGGAACCAATGACACAGAAAGAGTTGATAAGCTGCAAAAAAAAAAAAACAAATCAAAGTAGGCACTGCCAAGACAGCATGCTTAAAATGATATAGCCAAAAAAAAGACAAAAAAACAACTGTTTCTATTTTATACTTATTGCTAGTTTTTCTTTCAGCCAAACATGTTTGTAGAGAAGACCAATTCTCTTGTGAAAACGGACATTGTATCCAGTTGACCTGGGTTTGTGATGATCAGAAGGATTGTGAAAATGGAATTGATGAACTACATTGTAGTAAGTAGTAAAGAATTTTGCTTTTTCACCTTCTGCTTTCTTGTTAAACCTTTCCTATTTCCTTTTATAATTTTCATCCACATAACCAAAATTTCAAAAACTTTCTGACGTCAAAATTATGTTACCTGTGATTAAAAAAAAAAAAGGCAATGTCTAACCAGCTAAGTAACCCTTAACTGGATGCCCACATGTAGATTGATGCTGTTGCAAGGGGTATGGCTGTTGTGCCAAACATCTTCAAAGGGCCATATGTGAAGGCTGGATTAGACAGGTCAGACAGTACAGCTCAGCTACTCAAGCAAGTAGCATGGATGCAACTATCTCATTGCCCCATTCTGTACACTCCCACATCCATGTTTTTGGGTCCCTAGCCCTCAGAAACCATTGAGGTGATTCAATGGGCCAGTCTTATGTCCAATGAAGAGCTCTGCCAGAGGGCTTGTTTACTAAACATCATCTGCGCCATTGCTCAGTGCCATGTTTGCTGGTGCAGTCATATCTTGATGACCACCCTACCTAAGTCATCTACCAGTTTGACTTGCAATCTTCAAACTGGTGACGATTGCACAGCAGACCATGCAGCTGCTGGAAGGATGCCGTCTGCTAGGACATCCATCAGATTAACCTGGTGCTGGAGGATGTTCCAACACTCTGCAAAGATTGTGAGGGACAAGGTGGCTCTTGTGGGCTGAATGCTTTCATGGCATAAGATTTACCAACTGCAACAGTGCCTGCAGAAAAATGGTGTGTCAGAAGGATGGTTATTCCTTTAACACTGCTATTACTGTATACACTTTTGACTCCCTCGGGGGGGGGGACATAATTACGAAGACATTTTGTTTACCTTGACATTAAGAATGTCAAAACGAAGTCGCTAAAATAATGTTGAAAATTACGATGCGGTTTTCCCGATAAATGTCAATGAGGATGTTATAAAGAGAGATTTCAAGAAGTGTTGTCTCACAACAGCCATGAATGGCTCTGAAGATGACATCTTTTGGCAAGAGAATGAAGAGGCCGAAGATAATTTTGAACAGGCCAAAGATAATATTATGAATGATAATTTGTTTAATGACAATTTAGATATTGATTCTATAATTGATGATTATTATTATTATTATTATTATTATTAATATTATTATTATTATTATTCCTTGTTAATTAGCCTATATATAATAAATAATATCTCTAGAAGAATACATTCTTTCTTTTTCGTCTACTATATTTACTTTCTATGTACATTCTGTAAGACGTACACATTGTGTAGCTTTATCATCACCCAATTTTTATATGGTTGACATTTTCTTTGAAATTACCAATACTTTCATTTTTCACTGTGTTTTTGTTTTATTCAACTCCAGATAAAAAACAGTGTAGTAGAGATGAGTTTCGATGTAATGATGGAAAATGTATCAATGCCAAATGGGAATGTGATGATGAGGCTGATTGCGATGACAAATCAGATGAGAAAGATTGTGGTAAGTATTTTTCCCATTTTTTTTAATCTCAGAAAGTTTTTTTTTTTTGTGAAATGTAATGCAAAATAGCTCCAAAGCTTTTGAGCTTTTTTATTTTATCTTTTATTTTTTATAGATATGATAATGTTTTTATAGATATGATAATGTTTTTATAGATATGATAATGTTTTTATAGATATGATAATGTTAAAAGCAAACCGTTATAACCGCCAACAACCTTAAAACACAAAATATTGATCTTGATGGAAGGGGTTTTGATATTAAAATCATTTAAATCTGCTCTTATATTTATATCCCTTCACAATTTCAAAGGTTCTGGAGCCAGTCATTAGAAATTTCCGTCTGGAAGATCTGGTTATCAAGTATACCCATATTTCAGATTCAGTATAAAGCTATTTCAAAAGTAAAAAACCAAGCTATTTACAGTATGCATAGTATTCATCATGAAGCCTAACATGTGAAAAGTCATTGGTTCTTTTAGAAAAGAATTGACAGAAAATCTATGGAAGTTATAAGGGGAGACAATCCACAAAAAAGTGAATATATGAAATAATTGATTTGATTTCATGCATTTGTGGGTTATCCTACTCGACCTTGACAAAAAAAACATTGCTAAGCGGAGCTCCTTAAGTCTGTAAAAAGGCATGCATTTCTCTCCCTAGCCTCTTTTATAGTTTTTTAGCTCTGGCTTTCAGATGTAGTTGCACGTGAGTAAAGTGTCCTCTACTGGCGTATGTTCATTTTCATGGTTTTCTCTTGATTTTTTTTGTACTCTCTCTCACATGCTTGTTACACACACACACACACAAATAAGCAAGCACATTCTTATTATAGTTGCATGTTTTTTCATTTCCTTCTGTTAATACATGCACTATCATTTGTTTTATATTTATTTTTTTGTGTTACTATCATTTTTAACCTGGACTCGTATGAGTCCGCCAATATTGTTTATGGAATAAATTTTCCAGGAGCCTGTAAATATTTACTCTCTAAAGGGTTGATTCCTGCAACATAATGGTAACTAATAGTTACTCAAACATACTAGCATCCCGCAACATATTAAAAAATAAATTAGTACATGATGGAATTGATATATTTCTGTCATTGAAAGCCAGCATAAAATCCTCTCTAAAAATAAATTTTCAAGTACTAATTTTAAGTATTAATTTTTAAGTACTAATTTTCTGCGATCCCTGCAAGGGGTTGGGTGAAAGTTAGTCCCTGTTGTTTGAATCATTCCAAATGGAAGTCCTGGGGAATTTTTGAATTGACTTGCACATAAATATGTGGCGCTCCATAGTGAACTCAAATCTGTGTCACGTTACACCCTTTGTATAAATTCATCTCTATGTAGTTGACTCTTCTGATGTCATAATAAAATTATCTTCCAGCATACAACCTCTTTCTCATAGACAAAACATTGCAAGCTTTTCACTGCTCTGTTACTATTTCCATGGAAAGAGTTCAGATAAACAACATTCCTTAGTTTCCCTATTTATGACCTTCATGGCTATGTCACGCTCATGGAGTGAACCACCCTCATTCTCTTCTTATTCCATTGGTGAGATGTAAATTCCACTGAAGCAGCTTCTCCCCACAAACTATTGCTTCATGGAGCCCACTCCCTAGAAGATGCTTTCCCAATCATTACAATTTTAACCTGTTCAAATTTTGGTTAACCATTATCAACCCCACATATACACTTCCCTCTTATTGAATAATCTTCTTCCTCGATTGGCTCTCAGGCCTTGTACAGGATGGACATCATTATATGATATTTTAAACCTGTTAAATAAAATAGCTGAGTTATTTATGTCTTAAATTATTTTTACTTAGATTATTTATTAAAGAACAGTCATTTTTTGAATTGTATTGTACTTGTAAAATACCAAAAACTTAAATATTCCCACCATTTTGTAAGTTGATTTGTAATAATTTCTACTTGATTCTTTTTCCAGCACCTCATACCTGCCCTCCAACTGATTTTCAGTGTGATAATCGAACCTGTGTTAGTCAATCCTGGGTATGTGATGGAGATGTTGACTGTACTGATCATTCCGATGAGATGAACTGCACGGTAACTGAGAACAATGGTTGCACAAGTACGGATTTTATATGTGCCAATGGCAGGTGCATCACCAAATCCTGGAAGTGTGATGGAGACTCAGACTGCGCTGATCTTAGTGATGAAAAAGATTGTAAGTTGATGTGCTAGAAATTTTAGAAATAATCTAAAATTATTTGTGGGCAAGATGTCTCTTGAGATTAATCCACTTTAGCTAAAAAAAATATATATCAATGTTTGCTACAGCTAAAAAAAAATGTCAATGTTTAACTGTTATTAATTTTTGACTATTTCTTCCATCTTAATTTCAATTATTTTATTTCCCCTACTAGTATTAGTAGTAACAATATTATCCTCAATTTTAATTAAATGAATAATTCTCTACCATTGCTAATTTTTAACTAGTATTTCTTTCAATTGATTTATTTACACTTTAAACAATAAGTGCTTCAACCTAAAATATGATTCTTTATTAAAAGTATTGATAATTTGCTTCTGAGATTTTATGATGCAAAAAAGGAAAATACAACATAAATTTTTATTTTTAAATAAATGCTAAAGATATCACAGTATATTGCTCATATAAATACATCCAGAAACATTTACAAAATCAATTGATTATACTAATTTTAATGTGTAAGCATTAACTTGCATAATAAAATCTGACACATGGTAGATGTGTGTGTGTGATGGCTGTCTACTCACTTTTGTGTATAACCACTTAAATTAACTATTCTTTCATGAGGTCTTGAATGCAAGACCAGCATGTACTATTCCCAAACCTCCCTATTGGGGGGACTTAAACCTGATTGGGGCCAATCAGGCAGTGCTTTGTAACTTTTGCTATCTTATTAACATTTTTTTGGGGTTTTTTTTCTACCTATATTTATATAAGTGACAAATTAAACTAAGCACAAATGACTGTTATTAAAATAGGAAATTTGTTTGCATATTTTGACATTATTCTGAGGTCTTTTTTCATCCAAATTCATGAATTTGTTTTACTTATGCTAAGTCTTGAAAAAACACTATATAAAATTCACTATTATGTTGAATGTGTTAAATTATTTGAAATCTCAAGTTGATGTTAAAAATTGCCACAAAACATTGTTGATTTATTTAAGATGAAACAATCTATTATGACATATCTCTAACTGTATTTAGATAGATTGTATTTATTTTCAATTTTTCTAGTTGAATTGTTCATCTATATTGCATATGATCCTTTATTATATGTAATTAAGTTACAATAAAATTTGTATTTTATATGAATACTTCCTTATGAAAATTGAGATGCAATAGAGTGGAGAGCCACGTATCATAGATTACCAAATATATGATACAGGAGGGGACATGAGACCCTTGCACCAACTCTGCTCAAATGGCTTCCTAGATCTGCATTTGTTTTGGCAGCATATAGGTAAATGCAATAAAAATAAATGCACAAAATCAGAGCATGTTAGTTTTGACTGCTAGTTAATTTCAGACAATCTCACTTCTCATCCATTTTGGCTGTGGTGCTTCCTATTGTTAACTGTCTACATTTTTCTTTGTTTTCCTTTGCTTGCTTTTAATCTGCATATTTGTTTCAAGGGACATTTTTTCTGTTTTCCAATCCAGGTATTCACCAGTGTGATTCCGACCATTTCTTATGTGAAGAGTCTAAGCAGTGTATTCATAAATTTCTCAAATGTGATGGAGCAAATGACTGTCCACTTGGATCAGATGAAAAGGATTGCCGTAAGTTTTAATGCACTCAAAAAAAAAAAAAAAAAGAGCAGTTGTAAAGCATTTTACCTTTTTATTTTTATGCTTTGCTTTAAATGGAACTAAGTTGCTTGTCGAGTGAGTGTTACCCATGACGCATAAAAATGACTTTAATTTTAATGGACACAATCTTTTCTCATGGACGTCTTTTATTAGTTGTAACTTGATTTATTTTACTTGTTTACTTAATTAAGATAGACAATTAAAAATGTAAGTTTATTTCAGTATCTACAAGAAACATTCCGAAAGACTTTCTTTTTTTTTTTTAAATTTTAACTTAAATGCATTTTAAGATTTTTTTCATTCATTTTTTTTAATCATTTCACCTCAAGCAAGGGGATAAAGCCACTAAGACACAAGTTGTTATTGATGATGAAAAACTATAGAGTGAAGGGAATTGAGAAAATGTTACTGAGCAGAAAATACAAAAATAATAGGATTCAAAGAGACAAGATGACAATTGATGTTGAATTATGAATTAAAAATGACAAAATAAAATGCAGTTATAGATAATAATGCAAAATTTTAATTGATGATACTATTTTCAGATTTAAATATACAATGAATCTTCTAATTGTCTGTAATCTTTCAAATAGTTTGGAAAAATCCCTAAAACTGTTTGTTTAAACGGCTTGTTATAGAAGTGTTTAAAAACTAATAATATTTAAGAGAAAATAGCATTTATCAAAATGTGAGAAACTATTACAATTGAGGAAAAAAATATTAAATAAAGATTTTAAAATGAAAATAAGAATTAAAACTTTAAAGTATAACATAAGAATCATGCTGGTAATTATTGTAATTCATGAGCTCATTTGAAATATTACCAGAAGTGGTTTTAACTGAATAAGACATTGAGATTTCTACTTTGATGAAACATTTCCAGCTATGATCAGACAATTAATGGTATTGTCTTTTAACATCTAACAATCTTTAAGAATGTTTTTATTTGAGAGCTGAGAGACTTGCCCTCAAAGTTATTACATGAGAGACTCACTCGCTGTCTTGTTACATGAGAGATTCACCCTCTGTTACATGAGAGACTCACTCTCTGTTTTGTTACAAGAGACTCACTGTCTGTTACTTGAGAGACTCCCTGTCAGTTTTGTTACATAAGTGACGCACTGTTTTGTTACATGAGAGACTCATTTTCTGTTTTGTTACATGAGAGGCTCTCTCTCTCTGCTTTGTTATATAAATGACACACTGTCTGCTTTGTTGTATGAGAAATACACTACCTGTTTTGTTACATAAGAAACTCTGTTACATGTAGGAGACACTGTATTTTTGTTACATGTGAATCTCGTCCTCTGTTGTATTACATGAAAGATAAACTGTTTTGTTACTTGAAAGACCCACTTTCTGTTTTATTACATGAGAGACTCTCTTTTGTTACATGAGACTCTCTGCTCTGTGACATGAGTGACAGACTATCTGCTTTGAATATGTGAGAGATACACTATCTGTTTTGTTACATGAAGGAGTCACATGAGAGTCTCTGATTTGTTACATGAGAAACACACTGTCTGCTTTGTTACACAAGACACTTGCTCTTATTTTTGTTTGCTTGAGACCCAAAGTGATTTGTTTATTTTTCCTTTAATGTTTCTATTCTCAACTTGTTTATAGAAACAGAGGAAACCTGCTCTGACGAAATGTTTGACTGTAATGGAGACAAGAAGAAATGCATTCATCGTGACTTAGTATGCAACTATATTAATGACTGTGGTAATTGGAATGATGAAGCATCAGAACTCTGCAATGGTAAGTGTGTGTTAAAGTATGTAACTTAGAATAGTTAAATCATTTCTGATTACAAATATTAAGTGTTCCATATCATACAGTCACATGAAATAGATCTGCTATTCAAAGAAAATCTTCTGTAGTTAGTGTTTTTGACAAAGTTTAACCTTTGTACCGGAAAAAAAAAAACCTGTTGTGTCAAAAGAATGTTTTTTCCTTTGATACCTCTATTATTTCATCCTACTTTTGCTCCTTAAACAATGTTTATTGTTTTAAAAAGCAAAGAATAGAATTTTGATACAACACAAACATATGAATATGAATTTATACATTTTTGTTGTTCTTGAGAATTTACAACAAAAATATTAAACACTATTTATTTATTAGATTGTTTATATACAAAAGTAATTTTATATTTACAACACTCTAAAAATGCAATTTTTTTTATTCATAAATTTATAAAAATTAACTAAATTGTAAAAATAGTGTATGTGCACGTTTGCATGCACGCACCCATGTGCCTGTTTGCAGAATTGTGTATACATGTAGAATGTTTAGTTGTCGTTTTATTATTATTTATATGTGTGTGTGTGTGTGTATATATATATATATATATATATGTGTGTGTGTGAAAATATATAGAAAATAGGAAAGAACTCGTTAGGTAAATAATCCAAAGTTCTTTAGTATTTTTGTTATTATTTTTTAAAAATAGTGCTCAATACAAAAGTAGAGCATAAATATAATATATAATAATATATATATATAATTTAATATATATTACATAATATATATTATTATATTATATAATATATATTATGTAATAATAATATATATATATATATATTATTAATATAGTATATTATAATAATATTTTATTATTATATAATATGAATTATATGTAATTTCAACTTTTTCTTTCTTTTTTAAACAGAGAAGTTTCCTTGCAAAGACAATAATGGTGGTTGTGACCAGAAATGCATCAACCTTCACCATACTCATCGTTGTGATTGTTTTCCGGGATACAAGTTGGTTGGCAATTCCACTTGTGAAGGCATGTACTATTATAAAATATTACACTTCTTTCATTTGAATGGAACACTCTGCATTATTATGTACTGTTAGAGTGATAAAAATCCAAGACTACATTTTTCACTCGTATAATTATTGTTTAATAACTTCTGTGCTCTATCAAAATTAATATCATCCATAACAAGTATGTGGTTTACAGGGATTTTTTTCTTGCAATGATATGAGGAATTCTCACTTTTTTTTCTTGAGTAGGGCATTTATATAATCTCTTGTCATTTGGTTGTTTTGTGTGTGTATATCCAAAATTCAGTTGGGTTTAATTCCTGTTTATGTCAGCAAACCCTCCAACATCATTTGGGACCTGATTCTGCACTTGGTGACTATGAGGATACTTACAAGGTCAATGCTCTGAGGCACCTAGCTCTTTTGATGTTCTGATGTGACACTGAGTACAACGCTTACTTTGCAAGTATCTCTTAGGGTGTACATACTGAGTTACTGCAAATCTACTCTACTTACATTAACAATTCTGGATGGACATTAAATTTAATTCAGACACCTGGTGTGGATCATATACATTATTATTATTATTATTTTTTACTTTTAGTGCCATGTCTCTTCTGGATGTGGGAATTCATAGCTCATCATAGATTGCTTTTCTTTATTATCTTTGAATTGCAGTAAGTTCTTGGGAAAATGGCTTAGTGGTTTTTCACAGCTCTGAATTCAGAACAGTTCTAATCTGCCTGCCAGTTAAAGTTATATAGCTCCATCTATCCTACTATTTAACCTATAGATGATCAGAGAATAGATAGATTCATACCTTTCCCAAAGGCATTAGTACAAATTAAATATAACAAACTTGGTTGGAATTGCTGATTCTGTTTTCCACACCAATAATAGTTATATTCTGCGCACTTCCTTTTGATATGTGCAGATGCATTTACAATTTTACCATCATAAAATAGAAGTATTCATTTTAAAACTTCCTTTTGATTTCTGCTTGTGTCTAATTTTTCAAAATCCATATTTCTAGATATTGATGAGTGTCAAATATTTGGAAAGTGTTCTCAGAACTGCGAAAACACAAAAGGTTCATACAAATGCAGCTGCATTGATGAATATGAACTTCATGGAAGGAACTCCTGCAAAACAATTGGTAAGTACTGTATTTCTTATTAAGGTTATCTTTTAGTTTACCTAAAGTAAAAATGCTGACTGAATTCTTTTCCTTTAGCTAAATAAAAGGGAACTATTCCTTCTTGTCATTTAGAAATGTATAATTGTTTGAACCTCAGTGAAGTAAACGTTCTTGAACCTCTGGCAATACCTTCTTATACCTTCTTGAATCTTTGAGAAGTACAAGGTCTGATCAAAAAGTACTGGGCCTGTTGCTATGGTAACAGAGCTAAAGTATACAAAGTGAAACCATTTGACACACATTGACCTTGACTTCTGTCACACATGCACACTAAGATATAACGTTTTTGCTCACTTCCGTTGTTTATAGCAGTGCTTGGAAGGAAAGTGTGTAGAGTGTGGTCGTCACACCACACCACAGAGGTTCCATCAGTGACCATGGCTTGTGCAGCAGTTTTTGTCCGAGCATGACATTCCCCAGATTCGACAACCACCACATTCCCCTGATCTTGCTCTTTTTGATTTTTTCCTTTTCTCAAAAATCGTATCCCACTTGAAAGGAGCAAGCTTTCAAGACATCAAAGAAATCCAAGAGAAGGCAACAAGGCAGCTGCTTGCTATACCAAAAAAAGGAGTTGCAGGAATGCTTCCATTAATGGAAATGATGCTGAATAATGCTTTTGGCTTCAGAACGGGACTAATTTGAAGGAGATTAAATGCCGAATTGATATGTGTTGTAGTTTTTTTTTTATATAGGAACAGCCCTGATACTTTTTGATCCGACCTCTTCTTAAAAATTTGTAGTTCAACTTCCTGACCTGAATTTCCAAATTTCATTTCATGCCTTTCCAGTGAAAAAAGACATATTCAATTAAAATTATTTTTATTATTAAGATTTTAATAGTAGAAAACAACAAAACTCCAAGACATCTTTCTAAAGATTTTTGCTTATAATTCTCAATTTCTTTTGTTTCTAATAATGATTGCGTATCTCACACTTTCTGTCTTTTTAGGTCCACGACCATGGTTGATTGTTTCCAACAAAGCTAATGTCCGTCGACTCCACCTTGGAAGACATGAATACAAACTTGTTTATGGGGACAGTGATAGTGCTATTGCTGTGGATTTTGATTATTTGGAAGGAATGGTTTACTGGACAGATGTCAGTAGTGAAAAGATTATGAAGTATGTACCATAGTTAATTTTTTCTAAGTAAATACTTTTCAGCAATGTTTAACCAATGTGCCTGCAAAAAAAAGTGGAGTTTCAAAAGGATAGTTATTCCCTTGAATTGATTAATTTATTTTTAAACAATGAAATTAATGTCAACATGCCTATACTAAGAACTTCTACTACTTGTAGGGCACACTTCACCTTGGTTTCAGTGAGGATATGAAAGAAGGGAAGATAGAAGTGTTTAAAGTCTCTTGCTAATACCTCATAAATAATAGACTCTTCCATTTTGATCACTTGAGAAGTCAAAAGATATCAAAGATACTACTTGGTTTCAGTGAAGAAATGAAAGAAAGAAGGGAAGATAGAAGTGTTTAAAGTCTCTTGCTAATACCTCATAAATAATAGACTCTTCCATTTTGATCACTTGAGAAGTCAAAAGATATCAAAGATACTACTTGGTTTCAGTGAAGAAATGAAAGAAAGAAGGGAAGATAGAAGTGTTTAAAGTCTCTTGCTAATACCTCATAAATAATAGACTCTTCCATTTTAACAAAATATTACAATCACAAATATGAATGCTGGTCATTATTTTAAAAAGTCATTAAGTTAAAATATTTAACAATGTAATAGGGGAATTTCTATGGATATTTTATTGTTATAAAACTTGCCATGAGTTTATTCAATTATTGAACTTCAGAATATTCAAATAGGAAAATCTTGAACTTTTCATAAGTATTTCTAATAAATTAATTAATTTAAATAAAAATCAAGGATGTCAGCTCAAACATGAGCAGCCACTAAAAATAATCCTTATAACTACTGAGCTTTACTGTGAGGTCCTTTGTGGTTGAGGTGGGGGTCTAAAACCATGTTGGGCTATATAGTGGTTTTCTCCTATATATAAAGGATACAGTTTTGAACCCTGCCAAAGGTTATATCTTCTTTATTAAAGATTTTCAAAAAGCTCAGGCCAGTAGAAGTCAGTTATTCTATTTAAAAAGCAGAAATGCCTATTCAAATATGTACTAGATGTAACATTTGTAGCAATAAGAGAGAGATAGATAGATTTATTTTACAAAATTCAACCTTTGACAAAAAATATTTACCAAAAAGAACAGCTTAATTAAAAAAGTGCTCAATATGAAAAATAAAATGAAAGTGTACGGGAGTTTAAGATATAAAGAATTTGAAACACCAATCTTTATGCTACTATGGTTTCTACCAGAGTGGTATCATCATACAGACTTACTGCCTGATGATACTGCTTTGTTAGAAACCATGGTAGCGTAAAGATCACTGATCCAAATTTATATATAAATAATAAAATATAGTTTTAAGGTATGCTATATTTATGGATTAAAGAGCTCAATATCAGGTATAGAGCCTATGTAAATATAAAAGTGGACATTGAAGTCAACACCCAGCAGCGACAGTCTGTTTCATGCTTATATGTAATTGAGAGCTGTTGTATTTTCTCAATAAATTTGCCACTTTTTTACTGGGAACCCTGTAGAAGCCCCATTACATTTTTTTTCATTGAGATTGTGGTGTATATGGAGGGAGTGGGCAGGCTTGTAGATGTAATAGTCACTGTAAATATAAATCCATTAAATCTTTAGAAATTTCTCCAAGTATATGCACTACAGTTCAAAAGTTTGAAGCCACCTTCAGAATTAGCATGGAATGAACTTGACAGAAGATTAAAAAAAGAAAATGAAAGAAAAGCTATTAAGAGTCATTGACAAAAGAATGGAATCAATTATCAAACTTTGAGAAATTTTTGCAAGGATGCCAAAAATTTCTGCTGCAGTAATCAAGGCTATAGGAGGATATTTTGACGAGAGCAAAATTTAATAAAATGCTTTTTTTCTTTTTGTCATAATAAAATTTCTAATAAAAATTGTTTCAATTTTTTTTTAACCATGTATAATAATTTTATTTTATTTTCTCTTACAAAGCAACTATGTTTTAGGTCAATTTAAAAAAATTACCTGAGGTAGCTTCAAACTTTTGAGCTGTAGTGTAGATTGCACATTTTTGTTTCAGAACATTCCATAATGTCACTTGTTATAAATCTTTTCTGTATTTACTTCAGGATCCCATTTGAAAGTCAGTCTGTGTTGGACACTGCTGAAGTGGTTATAGACAAAGGCCTCAAACGTCCAGATGGTCTGGCCATTGACTGGATTCACCATAACATTTATTGGACAGACACTGGGGCTGGAAGAATTGCAGTTGCAAATAAAAGTGGCCACCATGTGAAGACGCTAATTAATTCTGAACTTGCGGAGCCTCGTGCAATAGCTGTGGATCCCAAAAGTGGGTGAGTCAAACATTCTTCAGATTTTGCCATGCTAAAGGAATCACATACTAAGAGGCTTCATTTTCAGCTTATTTCATATTATAAAAAATAATATGTGGTCAGCCAGCATGTAATAACTTCGTTTTATATTTATTTATTTTTTTAATCATTTCACCCCAAGCAAGGCAATAAAGTCACTAAGATGCAAGGTGTTACTGAGTGTTAGAGAATATGAGAAAAACTATTAAGGAGAGAAGACAATAAAAGAACAAGAATTAAGAAGACAGAAGATAACGATTGATATTGCATTTAAATTTTTGAAGAGCCAAGTTGAATGGGAAGCAAGAAACCAGAAGAGAGTTCCACAAGCAAGAAGTGCGATAGAAGAAACTGTTAACATAGAACTTAGGGTTACATCTAGCCAATTGAACTGTAAACTGATGAGACCTTGCCACCAATCTAGTACTGTTCATAAATTCATAAAGTCTAGGTACCATTGTGGACAGTTCATCAGAACATTTACCATAAAAGTATTTATGGAAAATGCATAGGGAAGCTACATTATGCCTGTAGGAAAAGGACTTTTTATGAAAAATATTTGGACAGTCTGCCTATTCTGGATTTAGATTTCATTGAGGACTGCTGTGTTTGCAAACTATTTAAAACAAGGAATATTCTTATTGTACTTCATAGCATATTTCCTCTTCAGTTCAGACCTTTACAGCTCTATGTCCACAGAGTCGAATCACTCCTCCCATATTCCATTTGTAAGGAGGAAGTTCCACTCAGTTTTTTCTCAAGAACTACTATTTTGTGGAACAAACTCATACAGGGATGCTTCCCTGAATGCGATACTCTTAACTTCTTCAATGTATCGGTCATTCACTGTCTATCATCATAATCTTCATTCCTTTCAGCTCTCTCTTATATACATATCTCTTTCAGTAATACTCAAACTTGAATGCCTTTTACACCTTGTATTGGGTGAACTTTAGTAAAAAAAAATTAAAAAAATGAACAAAAAGTGTATACATACCCAACAAATTGATATTTAGTTTTTCTTTCTCCAGACTGGCTGCTACTAAAGGCTAGAAAGTCCAGTCTAATCTACTGTTGAGAAAAATGATAGGTTCATGTCTTTTATCAAGGGCATTAGTGCAAAGTGAAAGTGGCAGATTTCGTTGGAATTTGTGTGTGTATGTGTATATAGATATTAGTAAATTTGGATTACAACCTGACAGAACAGTAACTATTTAAGACAATTTTAAAAAATTCTCCTTTGACATGTTTTACCAATGAAAAAAATATTGTCACAGCAGGATGCAAATTTGTGGCATAACACAATTTGATTGGTCAGAAAAAATGTTAAGAATTTTTCATAAGCCTGAGGAGTCAAAACATCATGAAATTTGAATAGCTAGTTTGTGAGTTTTTAAATCATATGTATTTCTTATAATTTATTGAGGTCATACAAGCTAAAATGCCACTAAGAGGGGAACCCATTGTACACCAAATTTTTGTTCATAAAAATTGTTATCAAAGGTGAAAAAAATTTGATTAGTAATTAATTATCACTTTTTTATGGTCTTGTGTAGGAAGATATAATTTTGCTTTTGTTAAATGTGTGTTTAGTAAATTTAGCCATTTCTTTATAGGAACATAAATGCCTAAATTTACTAAAAACACATTTAGCAAAAGCAAAAATAAAATTAACTCTTCCAACACATAAGATCCTAAAAATGTGCCAATTATTTATTAATCAATGTTTTTTGTAGTAGAATTATTGATGTAGCCTTTTCTCCTATATTGTAGTTACTGTTTGCTAGTAAAAACAATGACTTATTTTGTGTTTAATCAACAGGTGGTTTTACTGGACTGACTGGGGCTACCCTCCTGTAATTGAGATGTGTGGTATGAATGGAATGTACAGACATGTCATTGTCACGAATCTTCGATGGCCAAATGGAATCACTATTGGTAAAATAACTTTTTTTTGGTTATTTTTTTATTTACCATATTTAATTGCACACAGTTTTTTTTTTAAAACAAAAAGAAGCAATGGCTTAAAAAATTTGCCCTGATAAGTTAAGTTGAGATTTTCCAATGGCTAATTTTACCCACTGATTTTATCCCCTATTCTTTTTAATAATAAAATGCCCTACCTGTCAAAAAAGGTGAAATGTTGGAAGAACCTGAATGCAACAAACAAATGGAAAAAAGGAAGTAATATTTCACATACGACCTGCTTACAAGCAGAATTGTTCATAACAAATTTTGGTTCTCACCAGTCAAGGTGCAATTGAAATGCACTGAAACAAAGTTGCATCTTTGTAGTGAGTAAATGTTTTTGTCTATATGAAAAGATTATAATAAATAATTATTGCTCTACTATCAGTACTGAACCCTCTTTTGGATTAATGCTGTGAAGGTTAGAATTTATATATTTTTTTCATTCTCATTGCATCAGGTATATATATATATATATATATATATATATATATATATATATATATAGCTGTTGAAATAAATTTATAACTGATTACATGATGCCTAATTTAGTCTTTTCCTTATTTATATTGCTCTGTATATGAATTTATGCATTGAGCTCTCATCGTGGAGGTAACATTTTAATATTTTTATATTAAGAAGACTTCCTTGGAATAATCTCTACCACCTATGGATTTGGTATTATTTATTTGCATGTATGTGTGTGTGTGTATCAGGGGAAAGAACTATGACACAAACTATGAAAAGTTTTTGCCTGATGCATTTTCTTCATTAGCACTTTATCAGACAAAGTTTATGCTTACATTGGTACGACTACATCTGTGCATGTATGAGTAGCGAATTTTAAACCAAAGCAGATGGTATTCAGTTCGGTATTGGATAGCTTTATATCCAATAGATTCTCTACTCTGTTAGATCTGGTCAATACAATCAATCTGATTTCACCTAAAAATACTTTTTTATATATCATCATCCTATATATATATATATATATATATATATATATATATATATATTATGGGGAAGAGTTGCTCAATATTGGAGATGAAAGTGATTTTTATATATATATATATATATATATATATATATATATATATATATATATGTGAAAAGTGTATATAAATATAAATAAATATATATATGTATAATTATTTATATATTATATTCACGTACTTATTAGAAAGCGCTCAATATCAGAGATAGAGCTAACATATTTGGTTGGATAGATGTGAGTTTGTGATCCTGGGTTTCACGTTTGTCTGACGATCGCTAAAGCGTGAAACCCAGGATCACAAACTCACATCTATCCAACTAAATATATATATATATATATATATATATATTGTCATCTACAGACAGACTGTTTTGCTGTATCACAGCTCTTCAGTGTGGTTAGACATCTGATTGCTTCAAGCCGGGATTGAAACCTGACCAATTTGGTATTAGTCAGAGATTCTACCCCTAGGCTCAAAGTTCTCCACATATTCCTCTTGATCTCATGAGAATTCTGAAGCTAGAATTTGGAGCTTTAAATGTAAGGTTCTTCCTGCTGCCTCATCTGCTGCAGCTTTTCTTTCTTTTTGTATTGTCATTCTTTTTATGCATTATCAGCTGCTGATATTTATGGCACATGATATTGTTTGTTTCCTAATAACTCCTATATGTTACTTATATCTACACTGGACCTACTTGACGGTGTTGTCATGCACTGATTCTTCAGATTTCTCTCTTTATCTAATATTTTTACTAAAATGACAATGGATGTATAATTAGATGCTCATTCTTATTAAATGCCTTGTGTTTTTGTTAGTATACAGTTGAAGAGTATGAGACAGATGAATTAGGTGATTTGTAACCAGAGCCTATTTCCATTGGTCATTTTCAGATTATGTCAGTGAACGCCTTTACTGGATTGATGCCAAATCACATCAGATCGAAAGCTCCAATATGATTGGAGGACAACGAATTACCATTTTGCACAGCAATAAACAAATCCAGTTCCCATTTGCAATCACTGTCTTTGAGGTAAGTAACACACATTGGATTATATGAGTTAAACAAAAAAAACAGTTTCAAAAAAGTACCTTTAGAAGAGGAAATACCTGTCTCATCTATATTGCCCTGCACATTAAGGGTAATAGAAAAATTGGGTCATGGAAAATAAGATTTAAAAATGATGAAAATAGCATCTTTAAAAGAAAAAAAAATTGAAATTAGAAGTGTAGGAATTTATGAAAAGCTATTTCAGAGATATTGATGGTCAACAAAAATTAAAATGTTAGTAATCTCACCCAACCACTTTAGGTACAATTGGGACTTGGTGCCCCAGGCCATGGCACCCCTAACTAGATATTCACTTGATTTTGATTCCATCCAAGGGGCCAATTAAATGAACAATTCACCCATCTTTATATTGCAGATTCGTCTGGTGAAAGTCTGTTTCTTCTATATAGTGACTCACCTGATTTTTTTTACTAAATGTTCTCTTCTCCGATGAAACGAAAGTTGAGCTAAATTCAAAGGATAAGCAATCTAAAATCCGAAGAAGAAGCTTTGAAAGCTCTTTGAATTTAGCAGTAAGTACTGTCAAACATCCATTCAGTATAATGTTCTGGGGATGCTTTTCTTTTCATGGAACTGGTTTTTTAAAACCTATTGAAAAGACCCTCAGGAGCGAGCAGTACAAGAGAATTTTAGAGTCTTGTCTGCTCCCTTCTGCTGAAAGGGTACAAATCGACCCCACCAAGCTCATTTTTATGCAGGATAATGCTCCCTGTCACAAATCAAAATTGATGAAGGAATACTTTGATAAGAAGCAGGTGAGTGTTATGACATGGCCGCCCCAATCTCCTGACCTCAACCCCATAGAAAACTTATGGAGCATGTTGCTCAACTGCTTTCTCAAGAGCATGTACTTTATAATGCTCCATAACTTTATAATGCTCCATAAAATATTGAAAACAAGTCACTCAATTTACTTTCTGAAGGTTTTGTGCATGATGATTAAATAAGCATTTATGGCACTCTTTGCTGAAATACCATTTTCTGTTTTTATTAAGGAAGGTTGCCATTGAGTTTTTTTTTCCCTTACTGCTTGTTGTTTAATACTGGTAATATTTAGTGAAATATTTTGCTTTGTCTGCATCTACTGTAATTATCTATAAGAATTCATTCACATTTATTGTACTTTACTGATTATTTTTAAGCTAAATGTAATAAAATATATGAAAATAATAGGTAATTGGGCAGTTGCATACATTTTCCCTTACAAAACCACTTTAAAATATATTTCAATAATATTGATATCAAATTTTTTTCCACAGTTGTGCCTTCTCGTGTTAATGTTCTCAGTTGACATGAAGTGGAAAGACTATATTGAATTCATTGCTAGGTCAGCTGCTAAGAAAGTTAGTTCACTGTGTTGTGTCAGACAGTTTTTCTCACCAGCATCTATCTTACATATCTATAAGTCTACCATTTGTCCAGACTTAGAATATTGCTGTCAAATATGATGCAGTGCCCCTGCTATTTACCATGAGTTACTTGATTTAATCCAAAGAAGACTCAGCAATATTATTAGTCCTGATCTGACATCTCAGCTACAGTCTCTTAAATACCGCTGTAAGGTTGTCTTTCTGTATCGTTTCTATAAATACTTTCATAGTAGTTGTTCTTCCACACACAGTAACCCCTTGTGTCTCAGTGGCTTTTCAGCCTTGCTTGGGGTGAAATATTTAAAAACAACAAAATAATATCTTTGTATATTAGCGAGGGGTGGGTGCAGGTTATGTAAAGGACAATAATTAAAAATTTATACAATTTTTTTCTCTGTTTCTTTTAGGATTCTCTCTACTGGACGGACAGAAATACCGAAACTATTTGCACAGTCAACAAATTCACTGGATCAGATTATAATCAATTTGGACTTGAATTACGAGAACCAATGGGCATTAATGTTTACCACAAGTCACGACAACCTTTCTGTAAGTTCAGTTTAACCTTTAGAAGTGATATTAAAAGTTGTAGAGGGTTTGAAAAAAATTGTTCTTTAGTGAAATCTAATATATGCATTTTTTAAATAGTGAAATCTAATATATGCATTTTTTTTCATTGGAAATATGTACATGCACAAATATGTATATATCATCAGCCTATCACTGTTGTTTATTTGAATTTTGATCTGAAATTTTCATTGTATATGTTTAACCTCTGATCTGATAGGCATAATACACACTGTTTAAAATAAAAAAAAAATTGGGGAGTCTATTTCAAACACTGATATCCACTGAAAGTAATGTTTGAAGTAATAAAAATATTGGTTTAAAAATAAATCCATTAATTTGTTAGGAATTACTTTGTTTATGTTTTGGATACAAAACTGAGTGGATATAGGCTTTTAAGAATAACAAAATGAGGAAGTTGCATTCCTTAAAAAGGATAAATAAAACCTTGTGGCCAAGCTGTCTAAAGCACATTCAAACAAATGGTGGTTTTTCTTAACAAAGACGGATGCAGGTTCAAACTCTGCTGGAGAGCACATTTTCTTTGTTAAGCTTTCTTGCGTGTGCAGGCCTGTAGACATAATACATACTGTTTAAAAAAAACAGGGCACCTCTTTCAAACATGAATATCCACTAAAAGTAACACTTGATGTCTGAAGTAATATATATATATATATATATATATTTGAGAAATCTTATTAAAGAAAAATTGATGCTAAATGTTTTTTTAAAAATATTTCTCAAACATTCGGGCCAGTAGATGAAAAAAAAATATAATGTTTAATAAATAAAGGGAGCATCTGCTCAAATATGGGTGTCCTTTGATAATGACATTTAAAATGCTGGTATATATATATATATATATATATATATATATATATATAAAGACATTTTTATGTTTATACATTCTTTTTATAGATACAAATATTTAAGTAAATGCTCTGTTTATAATAAACAGTATTAAACAACATTTACCAGCCTGAATGTCTTAGAAATTTTTATAGAAAATATTCATCCTCCGACAGTTATATGAAAATATAAATATGAAAATTTCTCAGACATTCAGGCCGGTAAATATTGTTTAATACTGTTTATTATAAAAAGAGCATTTACTTAAATGTTTGTATCTATAAAAAGAATGTATAAACATAAAAAATCTTAAAATAATTGTTGAACTTTGTCCATTTCATTATATATATATATATATATATATATATATATATATATATATATTACATAGATTAGAAATCCAAATTTACCTCATTTGATAAATTCAGAAAACACCTTTAAATTCCATATCAGTTATAATTTATTTCATGAATATAGCAATGAAATAAAGAATAAATTATATGAATTTTTAGGGTGTTTTCTTGTTTTCTTAATTTATCATCATATATTACCCTGTAACTTACATTGAGCTCTCATTGGATTAAAGTCCTCCTTGAATAATCCCTGTCAATTACACAATTACAAATTGGCATTATATATATATATATATATATATATATATATATATATATATATATATATATATATATAGAGAGAGAGAGAGAGAGAGAGAGAGATAGGAGGGAGGGAATAGCCTGACTGAGCCCCTACCACTTCAGACTGGTTTTGAATTCATAGTTTTCCTTCTGCTAGAATGGTTGCCATCTCACAGCAAGAGACATCAGTTTGCACAGCTATTTAACTAATAGTGGTGGGTATTCATGCCATTTCCCAAGGACAATAGGCTGAAGTGAAAAAAATGGAATCTAGTGGAAATTGAACTCTTTATGCTGAGTTCATCCTTGCGCACTGTCAAATAATGTAAGAAAATAATTTTGTTTAAAATAAGTGCTTTTCTTCATCATTAGGTTTATGAATTTACTGCTGAATCTATTTCTGTATACAGACACAGCAACACTCTCCACTTTTCTATTTTGATTGTGACATCAATATTGATATGTAATTTGCTATAGAAAATCATTACTAATGTTGTAGAATTACCTGCATGATTTTTTATAGGCTTAAGGAGTGTTCTTAGCAACTTTTTTTGGCCAAAGCCAAGTAGGCTAACTCACACTAAACCCAAAAGTTTATATGCATATTTTCCTAAAATCTATTTTGTTTTGTCTCTTACAGCTAAAAGCCATTGTGGGGATAACAATGGTGGATGTCCTCATCTCTGCTTACCAGATCCGCATAATTCCACCGGAATCCATTCCAGAATAACCTTTATGTGTGTATGTGCGGACGGATACATCTCTAAAAATGATGGCCATGAATGTATATTAGCGCCTGCTCCTAGTATGTACAATTCTGTCTTGCTGTTTTCTTTTTGCTTTGCTTGGATAACAGTTTTCTATAAACTGTATTTTCATCATTTCTTTTTGGTCGTTTTGCATTTGATGGTTTTGATAACAACACTAGAGCAAAGTTACAACAGTGTAGCATGTTTAGTTGACACACAATTAATGAAAAAGAAGAACGGTTTGTTGTATCTAACAAGAAGCTAAACTGTTGTTGTTGGTGGAACTCGTTTTGCTGAGTATTGGGGTGCTAATTGACATTTCCTTCTGTGTGAAATGCGTCCTATATTGGATCTGAAGAGACATCCGCAACTACTGCATGGTAGAGTAGGAGGGTCCAGGGGATGGAAAACTCTGGCTTTTATCTGGGTTTTCTTCGTCTCTTCTATTTGTCTTCCAGTGTTTTTGGAGGATGCTGTTATTTCATGGACTGCACTTCTCCAATTGACTCTTTTTGCAGCTTCTATCTACCAATTTACTGAATTGATTTTTGTCCTCATCAAAATGTTTTTAGGCTGATCCTTGAATCGATGATGTGGGGCTCCAAATGCTCTCTTGCCAGATGTGAACTCTGAGAAGAGGCTTTTTTTGGGTAGGTGAATATCTGGCATTCCAACAAGGTGTCAGACCCATTGAAGTCATTGACGAGTCATAATGATTCTAGGATCTCCATCTTTGTGTAGAGGAGAAATTCATTGTTTGCAATCCAGTTCTAACACATGTCCTGCCAGATTTGACAAAGTTTCATTTGATGGAATCTTTCATGTTTGCAGATGTCTCTTTGGTAGAATACCCAGGTCCCAGTGGAATACAGGAGAGTCAAGATTGCAACAGCTTGGTAGACCATGAGCTTAGTGGTTTGTGTTAGCACAGAATTGCCGATGACTCTTTTGACCTGTATGCTGCATGGGTAGCCTTTATTTGATTATCAACTTCTTTTTTGATTATCGTTTAAACTGTGGGACAGTGTAAAAGCTGTGCATTTTGGTCAATGATTCCTAAACTGTTTTCAGTTGCCATCAACCTTGACTTGCAAGATATATCCGTCATACCCCTCTCCCTACCATGTACATCTCTCTTTTGGTAGTAGGTTTACGGCAAATTCAAAACAACATCTAAACTAACACATAGTCTGTGATCATACCAAATTGTAAACATGATGATCATCAGTCCTCACAGTGTCTGTTGTCTGATCTATCTGATGTATGTGCTGTTGGGTCCACATCACCAAGTTACAAACAAACATTTGAATTTTTAACTCCAGCTTTGAAGCATAGGCTCTAAAATAAAACCCTGCTTTTGCCTATAAATCAGTTCATTTAATTCCTTGTAAGCCATATGCGTCACTTGAGGGTTTGTGATTTAGGGTTTCTGATAGGGATTTTATAAAACTAAAAGAAAAATGGCATTCTACCACCTGCTTCCCACCCAATCACGCTTTTCTCACTACTCGCTGTGTGTGGAGGCAGTACCACCCACTTTGGGAATGACTGTTTTAAACTATACAAATTACTCCAAAAGCAACTCCAACCAATATAAAATATCTTCTTTTTTTTTTTTATTAATCAATTCACCCCAATCAAGGCAATAATGCCAGATGCAAGTAGCTACTAGGAGTGAAAGTGAAAGAAAAAACTTTACAAGCAACTGGAAACCAAATCCTAAACAGGAAGCCACATTTATTTTGAATACTGTTATTAATATATGGCCATTATTTTTCATTTTAAGTTTGTTATGATTGTTTATTGTTATTTTTGTTTTGTGTTAGTTTTCTGAATTGTAACCACAATCATTTATTGCAATCCATCTGTTATTACTACTACTAGTTTTATGGTTTGGTTAATTAATGTTACTAATAAAATGGCTTTCATATTCTTTATATAATATATGAAAAACAAATTGTTTTATATCTAAATTAAGTTCTACAGAAATTTAGGTTTAAAAAATGTTGGTAAGATTGTCTGCTGTGAATGATTCTTCCTTATTCCAGGATCATGCCTACAAGAAGGCACTTGAAACTGCCTAAGTAAGGCACTTTGAACTGCCTACAATAGGGCACTTTGAACTGCCTACAATAAGACACTTTGAACTGCCTACAATAATGCTGTTGGAACTCTACCTACATAAGGCATTTAGAAATGCCTACAATAAGGCTCTTTGATCTGCCCATTGAGTGAGTGAAGTCTGTGGGTCTTGGCAAAGATCATCCTTTGAACATTGTGCCTATAATATTATGGGTACTTAGAAGTGTAGATTAACTCCTTTGCATGATTAGATTCCAAAATCTTTGAAATTGAAATTAGAAATCCAGGGAAAGGTTGAGACTGTCCATACTATGGCATTTCAGGGATCTGTGAGGATACTGAGACAGGTGCTGGAAATTTTAAGGCGACTTTTTGTTTTTAGTGATGTTCACCAGTGAACATGTAAATTCAATTTTTTTTTAGTCATGTCTCTTCAGGACATAGATGATCTTGGCACATCATCATCACAATAATTGTTAGAATGAGGTTGGATTCAACATCAAACTGCTTTTGGGATTCTATAAGCTTTTTCTTTTTTGGACATAAAGTGCATAAATATTGTGCCATATCCAAGTGCTTTTGGTTATTCTTTTAGCCATTATCAAGAATGTTTTTTTTATTTTTAATTCTAACTGAATGTGTAGATTTTTATGTATGTATCTAGGTTATGGGAATATTTTTAATTTTCTAAACATGGTCAGCACATTGTGACCATGTTCATAGTTGATGTTATTGAGTGTTGGATTTTTTTTTTTTAGTAGCAATGCTTCCATTTATGATCAATGTTTCTAGACTTTTTTTTACATGTGGATGAGGCTGTTATAGTTGTATTTTCTATGAGTATGTTGCAGATGGAGTTTGGTCAGTTTCTGTGTGTGTTTAAATGTCCTAATTGAGCTATGATCAGAGAGATGTAACATGAAGTGCTCAGACATACGAAAACATTCGGACAATAGATATAGATATAGATAATATTAGTGGTCAGTATATATATATATATATATTTCCAAGAGGAAATATATATATATATATATATATATATATATATATATATATATATATATAATCCAGGTAGAGCTCAATGTACGAGACAGAGCAAGAATATAATATAAAAGGCTCAAACACTATTGTTCTATGGCTATAATTTATTACATTGGAATCGTAATCACAATCCAATTCATCAAACCTACAAATTCAAAAATAAAACAGAAAATATAATTCTGGGTTATATATATGTGTGTGTGTGTGTGTGTGTGTGTGTGTGTGCGCGCGTGCGTGTGTGTGTGTGTTTTATTGAATAATATAGACAAATTGTGTCTACTTATTTTTATATTGACCCTTTCCAGTTGTCTGATCAGTTTCATTTCTTGATGTTAAGATGAAATTCCTCGAGTTTTTTTAACCAAAGTACTTTTGACCTTTTTTTTAATATCCTCTTCAGTGGTAAATTACAAAGACAATGTAATTATTACAGTTACAATAAGTAATTTACTCCTGAAGAAGATCTTAGAAAAGGTCGAAAGTACTTTAAAGTCAGTTCTTCCCAATGCTGTACATTCATGTGCAATGCATTCAGATTATCTTTCAGTTCATCATTAAACCTCTTCCTAGGCTGGTGTTGTGGATGCTCTCCTGTCTTCAGTTCCATGTAGAAAAGTTGAATGGGAATCCAATTCTCATGATGCACGCACACACACACACACGCACACACATATGTAATAGATATTGTAAAGCCAGAAATGCCGTCAGTCAGTGAAGGTCTGAAAGAAAGGACATTTAAGACAAGCAGTCTTTGCAATAAAGTGCTCAAAATTGCAGATAGAAGATTAATAGGATTAATACAAATATGTATTCATGTTTCAAAACAAGAGCCGAAAACTTCAATATAATTATTTGAATTAAATTGAATTAAAGTGAATGTAATTTTATACTGATACAAATCATTAACACCTTACACCCCTTTTTATTTAAACTATTGCTCTAGCCGTTACCATAGAAATTTTGATTTCAATAATGAATATGCTATTAAAACACGTAAATTTCAGAAATAAGTTATTCCAAAAAAAAATTTTGCTTGAAGTTGGAACAGAGCTTACTTTAATTCAATCTAATTCAAATAATTATATTGAAGTTTTCAGCTCTTGTTTTGAAACATGAGAACTCTTATGTAGCATGTTGGAATCATATTTTTAAATAAATAATTATATATATACCCAAGTATATAAATGGTATATATGGAATGAATTCCAATAACCAACAATTACTATTCTTAAAAGAGTGCTCAATACAGAGTAGAGCAGATATAATTATTTATTTTAAAAAATAGCCATTAAAAAAATAGCCATTTTGTTTCAACACCTCTGGTGTCTTATCAAATGATGATGTTGAATGACATTCAACATCATCACTTGATAAGACACCAGATGTGTTGAAACAAAATGGCTATTTTTGTAGTGATTTTATAGCATATTTATGTTATAATTTTTTAAATAAATAATTATATATATATATATATATATATATACACACAAACACATGCACACATATATATATATATATATATATATATATATATATATATATATACTAGAAAAATTAATGACGGTAGGAAAAGTTTTTGTGTGATGTGTTTCAACCTTTAGGACTTCATCAGACTAAAGTCGTGTTTTTGTTGATGTAACTACATGTACACATGAAAAGGAAGGGAAATTGAAAAAATACAGACTTTTGTTATAATTATGTTTAGATAGGAAATGCTGAAAATATTAAATCTAAATGTTAATTTTAAACATTTAAATTTAATTTATTTGTTGATAGATGCCTGTTGGTATATCGTCAAGCCAATTTCACTTAGTTTCTTTTAGCTGTTGTTTTTATGTTTTTATCACTTTTATTATTAAGTATCCGGCATTGCGATAGTGTAAATATATGTCATCATAAAAGTCCTTGAAAGCTATGTAAAAGCTCATTGTAA